GTACTACCCTACCAGCTTCTTAGGTTATTTCTTAATCTTTGGTTAAAGCTTATGTTTCACACACTAATACAGCATTTTCTGACCAGGTCTTGTAGAGCCGGCCAGGCTGGACTCAAACTCACAAACCTGCCTCAGCCCCCTGGGTCCTGGAAGGATAGGTGTGATCCTGCATTTCTGAGACTTCTAATGGAGCTAAATATTTTCTTCTTTCTCAATAGATTGAGAAACTGTAAAGGCAGATGACTATGTGCAAATACAGGTGAATTTCATTTTAATTGTTTGAATATGTAGACATATGTCTCCAATTCAGAAACATGCACAAGAATGCAAAGTCTTTATTTGACTGCTGCAGACAGAGGAATCACTTTCAGTTTTCAATAGTTTATATTTGTCGGTCACATGACAAAGGGGATTATCCTATGGCAATCAGGCCTTCATAATATTTTCCCCACACATTAAACTTTCAAATGCAAATGGAAATTCTACATGTAAGTCACAGTCTTGCCTAGAAAAGGAGATATTACATCATAGTTAGAATTGGACAGCAGAATTAAAATTTCTCCAGTTTTTCTTTGCTAAGAGGGAAGAATAAATAGAATGCAGAATTCATTGGGTTTTAGATAAATGTCAAGAATTATCTCGTGGCAATAACCAATTTCATTTTAAACATGAAATTTCTAGGTAATAGGTGCACAAAAAATATTCTCCAAAATGCAGTATTAAATGTCCTTGCTTTTGAAGTGAACTGATTCAGTACCAAGCTCTTAGAGATTCTTTGGGAGGTAATAGACTTTATTAGCTAAGTGTTCTAAGAAATGGGAAGACAGATGTAGTTCTATTCAGATTTGCCTTTTATTTCCAAGAACAGAAGTATTTCTGTAACAGAAGCTGGCGGGGGGGGGCTTGAATAGCATAAAATTAAGAGTTCTTTGATTTTAATGAGAAACACCGGCTTGTGCCAGGAGACCTGTAAAGCATTTGCATTTATTTCAATCATGCCCTGAGAAAGTGTGAAATCTGTACTTCATAGTTCTAGGAATATCATATGGAAACAAATTTTCCCATTTTTATTCTCTGGGTACTCCAGATAGACAAAATAAAACAATACACAGAAAAACGTGTCATTCCATTACTGCAATGAAACATATTTGAACCAGTTGATAACTAAAAAGGTGTAGAGTTTGCTTTTCCTGTATTCTGTTTAACTCAAATGTCAATCCAAGGTAAACTGAATGATAAAACTCTTAAACGCTATAAGAAAACTGCCTTGTATTTCCAAGTGGTACTGGCTGTAATATAATATCTCTTCTCAGTATGAAATAAGAACATGTAGCTTTGTATTTGTGAACTTGAACAAAGAAAGCTTTGTGCATTCTGGGTCTCTGCATATAGATTTATCATGGTTCTTTATCCTCTGGATAACTAGGACTCATTTATGATTGCAGGAATGAAGTTACAGTTAAAACCATCATTTATGCCATCAGCCACTGTATACTTAATGTCCTATGCATCAGTGCCAGGATAGTCTTGTAGTAATTACAAGTTAAAGAATAATATGACTAAAAAATAGTAAGGGACCACACTTTGTTTTCTTGTAGTTAACAATCTCACAAGTAATCAGTTATCAAACAAAACATATTTTAGCACAAAAAAAGCAAGAAGGAAAATGCTAGCTTCAGTGAACACTAGAGGAACCCAAGTTCTACTGAGCTGTAGACTATTATAAACAGAGAAGAATGACTTTCCAAGGACATAGAATTTAAGGTAAAGGATAAATCATAGTTGGTCCCATGAATTTGTACTTTGCAAGATGATGGAACAAAAAAATGTCCAAAACTCCTGATGATTTGATGTGACAAAACCATGTCATGGTGATGTATCAGTTAGCTCACGCTGCATAAGAAACAGCCCCAAAACTAACCGTTTTAAAACCATAATTCTCGTTGAAAGCATCTTTGTTTGTTCATAATTTCTTAGTGTGGCTCATGCTCATCTGGGAGCATTTCCACTCTGAGGTCAGTTTGTTCAGTATAGGTGACATCAGAAAAGCACTCTATCAACCTAGTTATTTTTCTGTGCCTTCCATGAAATACCATGCTCATGCAAGACAGTTTGGACCTGTCCCATGGAAATTTTGTTCTTTTAAAAAAGACACCTTTGATATACCATAAGATGGGTTGTAAAAGATTCCCTAACATTGATGATAAAAGGGCTTTGGCTAGAAATTGTAAAGAGCGCTTAGAATTCCGTAACTAGCTGAAAATGCAGATTTTGTGGAAATAGACACAATCTATGACTAGACTATCTATTGACTAGATATCCCACAAAAGATAATAATGCCAGCTAAAGTGTTCAGTATCATCATTCATTAACCAAATACAAGTTGAGATCACAGAGGGACCCAGTTTCTACTGCACACTCATGGCTGTGACAAATTAGGCACCCACACATCTTGGGGAGGGTTTAGAGAAGACACAGCCCTGATACTGCTGTTGGGAATCTCAAATGATGTAGTGTTTTCTTTATTTTTCATTGCTGAGACAAAAACCCTGCCATGTACAACTCGCAGGAGGAGAGCCTTGTGTTTGTTTATAGATTTTAAAAGGTTGTGTCTAAGCTGAATGGCTCCAAGGCAGGAAGAGGATTGGGGAAAGCTGCTCACATCATGGTGATCAGGAAGGGAAGGTGCATATCAGGAGCTGGAGTGGAGAAGCCTGGGCTACATTGTGAGAGACGCACCTCTACCTGTCTCCTAACAACATAGTTAGATATAAGCTCATCACTGAATTTATCCACTCATGACTGCAAGATTCCCCTTACTTACTCATCTTCCCAAAGCTCCACCTTGAAGGTAGGCAATTATTTTTGCCATTCGGCACTTGAATTGATACATGCAGAGCTTTCGAATAGTAACCTTTAACCAATTCTTTAAATATATTTGTCATATGACAAATAAATTTCTTATAGGTATTTATGCTTGGGGAATGCAATCATATTCATACATATTACAGACAGACACACACACACACACACACACATACACACACACACACACACACTTGGGGCACAGGAATTCACAGTAGCATTACTCCTAAGAGCCAACAAGTACAAATCGTACAAACATCCACCAAGAAACAAAAAGGTAAACGAAAATGTGTTCCACCTTTAGGATAGGGAACTTGTTAGCCATGGGAAAGAAGGAAATATTGTGAACATGAATGTTAAAATGTTGAAAATGTTAAATAAAAGTTCCAGAAATAAAAGACCTCACTACACAAATGTCTACTTTTATGAAATGAATAGAAAAAGCAAATTTTCCAAAGAAGGAAGGAAGGAAGGAAGGAAGGAAGGAAGGAAGGAAGGAAGGAAGGGAGGGAGGGAGGGAGGGAGGGAGGGAGGGAGAGAGAGAGAGAGAGAGAGAGAGAGAGAGAGAGAGAGAGAAAGAAAGAAAATTAGCAAAGAAATTTTAGGAAAGTGGTGAAAATATTCTCAAATCGAATTACACCAGTGATACACAACTTCATACATTTGTAAAAATCACTGAGTCTTTACACTTGAATAGATCTTTTTCTTTTGTGCATTTCATTGAGTAAGTTTTGTAGAAGAATGCTGCAAAGTACATAAACCTTACACTTTAGTTAGCAAACATCTTTGGTAAAGAATCTGAGGCAGTGATTTGTTGAGGATGGGACTTCCTTTCCAGGTGCAAATAATGCTGCAAAAATTGTCAAAGCATTATACGATGTGGGAACATTTTTTTTCAGATGGATTGGGAATGTGTTCCAAGCACATCTTCAAAAACTGCCCCAAATCCTTTAAATTTTGTGCAGTGATATTGAATCCATCAACTTTGGTACCAATGACTTGGGAAGAAAAATGCGATCTGTGGCACAGGCCAGATCATTAGGCTGGACCAGCCAAGGTGTAAGGGTAGAGTATTCACAAACCTGAAAGGATGCTAGATTAAGTCAAAAAGTAACTTTGTGATCCTTGAACAACACCTCTTACCATCTCTGAGATACTGCAATAAAGAAAGATACTGAAATATTACAGGATCACATTGCATAGAAAAGAAACAGGTAATCACGAGAACACATCTTCTGTGATCTATGTTGCCTCTTTTAGCTCTCAATTTTATCTCAGTTTCTATGGAAATGTAAAAGAGAAACACAAATTCTGGTTCTAGGAATTAATTACAGTGTTTTCAAGACCTCCTTTGAAAAGGGTTTGTTTCCTAACAAGCACTGGCAATGGAGCGGGCCATTCATCTTGCATATTTCTTTGGGAAAGACATTCTTTCTCTTTAGACTTTATAATATCATTTAACTGCTTCACACCAGTACAAATTTCTATAACGAGCTAATAATTATATAAAAGTGACATCAATATCAAGATATACCCTAAGGCTTTGGCATGAGTGAGTTTTAATGAGGAGCTTTTTGTTTGTTTTTCCCTCTTTCTGTTTTTTTTTTTAATTAGGGAATTTTTTACTTAAGGAATTTCACATGTGATTTCTTTAATACTCATCAAGGACATTTTAATGAGGTTGTCTTTGGGATCAACCTTTCTGAAGCAACTTGGTGCTTAATTCAGTGTTTCCTTGCCACAATTCTTTTTTGTTTTGTTTTGTTTTTGTTTTTGTCTTTTTTGAGACAGGGTCTCACACTATGCAGTTCAGGCTGGCCTTGAGCTCACTTTGTAGCCCAGGCTGGTCTCGAACTCACAAGGATCCTCCTGCCTCAGCCTCCCGAGTGCTGGGATTATAGGCATGAGCCACCACGCCCGGCTGCCACAATTCTTTTTTCTTCACTTGAATTATAGACAGCCACAACTTCAAAACTCCTGGGATTTTATCATCCAAATTTCTTCGGCCAATTTATATTTTAGGAGTCTAGAATTTGAATTTCACATAGTACTGGCATTTCACATGATCTCGATTCTGTATTATTCCTTAATCATCTATTTATGATATCAAAAGTCAATATTTTTATTACTAGGCAAAATATTATGGGTCTCATCATCACCACTGTAAATGTTTGCTGTGATGCAACCATGACCTGACTGGGTTTTAGGCACACTGACCAGTTTTGGACTCCACTCAAAAGTGCCCCTCGTAATTTGGTGTGAGCCTTTGTTTTTCCCTTTCCTGGATCATATTCATGTATTCATCCTTTCATGCAGAAGTTCATCTTTCATCAGTGTATGTTGGGGTTTACCATGTGGAGTACCTGCGTACCTTCTGGTAGGTGACAATCTTCCATGCAGGTGGTTCACCCCACCATAAAGACTTTTGTACGGAAAGTTTCGTGGTGAGTGTCCTCCTCCTGAGGGCTCCAACCAGAAAAATCAAGAAACTCTGCAATGTTTTTCTACCCATCCAGCTGGGTCTGGTTGGTTGCTCACCAATTTGGAGCCACACAAAATCAGTAGCATGGAGCCTTTGTGGCACAGGACAGTAGCAATTTCAAAACTGTGTTTTCACAACATCGTTAAGCTCCCGTGCGTTACACGTCAATGAAGACTGTTTTTGGCTCGCACATTTTCTCACTGTGTATTAAACCAACTCTTCTCATCCTCGCCTTGTAGGAAGTAGCTGATTGACAGTGTTCAAGTTACTGATATTTGGATATATACAGAGTATGCCCAAAAAAGTGGGTGAAGGTGTTTGCAACAACCAACCACAAGGAGTTCACTCACAATTCAGCGTTTTAGCCATATCTATCTGGAAAACACAAAAACAAAATGGGGAAATAAATACCAAGGGTTTAAGAGAGTTGGGTGGAATGATTTAAGAGTCTGTTGATGTTTTGATTACATTGAATTTTCCCTGCAGATATCTCAGAATCAAACAAGGTAGGTGACTTCCAATTTTGTTTGTAGATTCACACAATGCTTTTCCAATAATATTTACTGTGTCAAACATGGAAATGTGGTATGCAGTGCTTCACCATGATTGTATACATTTTGCACAAATAGTTCTTTTTAATAGAATAAAGTGTATCAGGCATGGTGGTTCTCTAACTACTAGGTAAAGGGAAATATGATTTAATTAATATAAAAGATATCCAAAATTTTAAGGAAATTTTGCATCTTTTGTTTTTCAGGCATGACACCAATGTCAGTTTTATAAAATGCCGTTTAATTACCTGATGCTTGTAGTGTTTCAATGTGTTTTTGATTTTGCTGTGGATTCTCTTAACCAAAATGTATCACTGCCGTTTCAAAAATTCATTTAGATTATAACATGTTAAAATTAGGAAGCCGTTGAATCCTTCATATATATTTCTTTGAAAAATATGCAAAATCTCTTTTCTAGTATTTTTATTTTCTGTTTTTAAAAAATATTCATGTTAGTTTTTAGTTTCTTTTTATTCTTTTTTTTTTTTGCAACAGTGTCATTTTAACCCCAAAACGACATTTTCACAGAATAGCTAATAATTTTTACCAGTAACATTTTGCATTTATTCTTCTTGATATGTTTATGTTCCTATGCTTTTTGTACTGCTGTATTTCATTTTTTTCCCAAAACCAAATGTAACAGACTTCAGCTTTTTGTGTTACATTCTTCTTCTTCTTCTACATTTTTTTTTTTGTTGTTGTTGTTTTTGTTTTTGTTTTTTCTTTTACTGGATAATATCTGTCTCTTTTCTGGATTTTTGGCAAAACCACTGTTTTTGAATTCTCTTCCCCCCCCCCCCTTTATTTTCCTGTTCAAATGACCCCAGGAGCCAACAGAAAGAGAATCGCGGATGATATAACCAGTAATGATCGTGGGGATGATGAAGGTATTTTTTTTTTTTTTTTTGCTTTTTCAAAGCTTGACCCTGGTGCATGATTTTATTTGTCTCTTACTTTTTCCATTTCAACTAGTTTTTTCTTTTTTTGTTTTCTTACCCTTACTTAAAAGTGACACACACTAGTGTGTTTCTTTGTTCCCTTCTTTTGAAAACCACTGTCCTTTATAATTCCAGTTACCGTGTAGAGGCCTGGAAATCACTGGACAGTTAAAATAAACATTGCTTCTAGTCGTAAAGAAGTAAAAAAGGCAATTTATAAAGATACCCACCTTTTTTACTTTTTTAAAAAAAAGTTTTGCCTTGATCCCAAGACGAGAAAATGGAATTTTACAACATGCATGCATAATGTCCTTCCTTTCTTCCCAATCTTCTTTTGTGAGTACTATGTTTTGGAACCTCTTTTTCCATTCTTCTGGACAGATTCATCAAAAGTTATTAATGATGAGGGTATTCGGTGGGTGGGGAAGAGATGTGAGATTTCTTTTTGTTTTGATTTTTCTCTCTAGACTGATTTTTAAGGTTTCAGAGGTTCTACTCACAGTAACGTACACTAAAGAGTATGTTAATGAGACATTACATTTTTCCTTTAGGGCTGCCTTTTAGCAGAATATAAAGAAAAAATTAAAAACAGATTCCCATATCACACGAATTAAAAACATGGCTAGAGGTTTAGCTCAGCTACATAAACAGCTGCTTTGCAAACACACGGTCATGAGTTCAATCGCTGGTACCAAGCAAAATCAAAACAAGCAAGACAGACCTGAATGGTACCTCTATGGATTGCTTTGTTTTTACCATAGCTTTCTGGAAAATATCCCCAAACCTTTTTATTTATTAATTAATTGTTTGTTGGCTTGCTTATATTTTTGGCAATATTATATTGCCTTTGAAGTTCTTCAAATTGTAAAATGATTTTTCACAAAACTGCGATTTTTCACAAATCATAAAAGATTTTTCTTTAAAAGGTGGATTTTCTGTGGTACCCATTCTGACACTTTATTGAGTCGCTTGCAAAGAATAAATGGTTTAACAGAAAAATATGGGAATATGGTAATGAGCCTTTCCGTTTTGGATTGGCTTACAGGGTGAGTCAAAACATTTTTTTCCCCCCAACCTGTCCAGCAAAATGTCTAGAATTTCATTTCTTTACATTAAAGGGTAAGAACCCTGAAGAACTCCTGTGTCTTCCAGGGAAAAAACAATTTGAGGCTCACTCCTTTTGAAGTTCCTGACAGTATCTTTTTACCAATTTCCAGTTTGGGTGCATCCCATGATTTATGACATAAATAAACTCTCTCAGGAAAGTAGGTTTTGCCAACATTGTTGTACTTCTGATCTTTTAATGTTATCAGCATTATACTTCCTGATCTCTAAACTCCTAGGTGGTATCAGTGCCCCAAATGCTACCTAAGTGATCTCCAATGGCATCACAGTCTTGCAATCTACACCTGCCTGAACAGGTGGACTTGCCCCCATCAACACTGATATCCCCAACACTGAGCAACACACTCTGCTCTTTGTATTCATGATGTCTGCTTTGACGACCAGTATCTGTTTTCACAATTTTCTTGCAAAACCACCTTATAACCTTAAAAATACCATCTAATTTTTATTCAGGAATAGTTGGATATATTTTTCTTTCAAGTTTGAATGCATAAGGCGTTTGACATTTCCTTCTTCCTGTTCTAGAGAAAATTATGTGTGATTCATGAGTAGTATGCTGAATTACCCTGAGTTATTTTCCAAGCAAACATCTTCCATCAATGCTTGAAAGTTTCTTTCTCTTTTCCGTAAGTTAGTAGCTGACAGCTGACAGTGATAAAACTTTCAAAAAGCACAAATCAAGAGCCAGAAATAGAACATTATGCAAAGTATCCCTCCTTATTTAGACAATGATCCTCCCTCCAAAAACAAACACAATTTGAAATAGCCGAGTAATGTATCTCTAATGCCAAGGATTTTTTACCTTATATTTAAATTTTCTATGAGAAAATTTTTAAAATGCTTTTCTGCTCTCCACTAAGTATCAGCAATGACTTGAGAAACCTATATGCTCTTTTTCTGTGCATTACTGTAAGCAGCGGGTTTTGTGACGTGCTCTCCCACCTCCAAAGAAATGGTCATGATCATTTGCTCTGATCATTGCCACACCGATGCATTTCCTTAAAACTCCTTTCTGGAAAGAAATGATGGTCACCATTTGATCTTATCACATTCCACCGCTCATGAAGATCACCTCATTTATTTGAAATTACATTGAGATGTTTCCTGGGTAATCCTGTGTGTTAAACAAAATAGAACAAAAAAAGATAGATAGAGAGAAAATAAACAGGCAAGATACATGAGGTGTCTTCGAACATTACAATTATTTAAATTGTCTGAACTCATACACATACATCAGTGTTAATATGGATGTGGTCAGTCTTTCTAAAAATCAAATGAGAGTCATTAGACTGGCTCATACCAAGCAAGTTAAATAAACACAACTTTATAGACAAAGGTCCTACAGATGGCCTTGGGTTTTCTGTCCACATAGACCATTGTAAAATACTCTTTCTACCTGTTCATTCATTAAAATAACACAGTGACCATGAGAAATACTCATTCATTACAAATGCACTGGGGAGTTTATGTTCCCTATGCAAACATAAAACAATACCCTGGTTGCATCTTGAGTCTGATCTCTCTTGCCATAATTCAGGATGACAATGTTATTTTTGTCACTTCAATATATTGAGACAACTTGAGTCAACAAAATAGAACAAAGATATTTGGACCTTTTTTAAAAAAATTCTTTCCTTTGGATAATTTTTAGCATTTTTTTTTAAAAAGGGTCATCTGTTCTATATTAAGTCTGTAATTTCACTGTTATTTTTATGTGTTGACTCCACAATTTTTCACAAGTTAACAGGGCATCAGTGTTTGCATTAATTTTGATTTTTAAAGATAATTTACCATTCATTTCTTTATTCGAGGACCAAAAGATATCTTGTCAAGGAAGCCATCTGCTTCTTCGATTTGAACTATATTTCAAGGTTTGAGCAAAATTTGGAGAATATGTATTCTATCTCAAACCATTTAAAAAAATTTTTTCTATACACATTTAAACAGAAAGAGAGGGAAACGTATTTCAAGGGGAAATATTATCCCACAGTCTTTTGCTTCTCAAAGTATAATTTACCTGACTAGCAAATATAACAACCTTAGGTACTACCTTCCAAGTATGTTCCAAAGAATTACATTCTTCATAAAACAATGGATCACCTGGTTACAGTCACACATCAAAGTTTACATATCTTGTTTGGAATCATGGGAAGATGATTGGCCAGGACAGGTTATTTTTGTGTGTCCTCATTGATAGTCTAGGTTCAGGTGAGCAGCTAGAAAGAGCTGAATGTGTTCATACACACATGTAATCGCAACCCTTTGGGAGGCTGAGGCAGGACAATTGGTATCTATTTGTCTGATTTGTTCATTGGTGGCTGGATCATGCCCATGTTTTAATCTAATAAAAAAAAAAGTCTAGCTGTAGTTCAGTGCCAAGCTCCTGGTTTCAATCCCCAGTACCACGAAAGCGATGAATACAATTAATTCACGTGAACACCAGGAAAATCACTGAGGTTCTTTGGCTCCTCCGGGAGCATTGTCATCTGTGTGATTCTTTATTGTGTGTCCTTACTTGAATTTTTTTCCAGATATCCATGATCAAAACAGTAAGAAGCCAGTGATGGTGTATATCCATGGTGGATCCTACATGGAGGGCACCGGGAATATGATCGACGGCAGCATTTTAGCCAGCTACGGGAATGTCATTGTTATCACCATTAACTACCGCCTGGGAATATTAGGTAAGCGCTTAGTTCCCCCAAGAATGCAGGGAAAGTTCTCCTTTACCTGCTGGCTTTGTGGCTCTGTTCCTCCAGCTCCTGGAAAATCCTGCTGTACTTTGGTGATGTCTTGAGCAACTACCTTGTTTTTCGTGATTTCTTTGGAAATTCCCAATGTTTCTGTGGTTGCTGTTATTGTTGTTTTAACAATTTGGGGTTTTTAGCACTGTCATCTTATTTTTATTGAATCCAAATCCCTCCTCAAGGCAAAGGAGCCCGCAGAGACATCCAGAAAGGATGGAGCTCTAATCCAAGGAAGTATTCTCTTGAACACATGTCGTGAGACATAGATTTGCATCATGAGCCCAGATTCGGTTATAGAATAGTTGATGACAGCTGTGGATGTTGGTTTTTTTCTCTCGCTGAGCAGAAGTACTGATCATTTTATGTGCAGGAAAGCACTTTGGCTTCTTTTCTCGCTAGTTGTGTATGTATGTCAGAGCTTCACAATCTCAGGTGTGACGCTGTGATTGTGTTTGTACTGGATGACACATCTCTTAACTGAATTTGCCTCTGTATTCCAACATGGTTAATGGGCATGAAGTCAAGAAAATGCAACATTCAGATATTTGCTACATTTTCTTACAACTGTGATTTGGAAAGTTACGTACTGATTGATAGAAGGAATTCTAGATTTGGCCTTTTCCAGGGTGTTGCCAACTGTTGCCTAGTTCAACAAAGATATTTACAGGCTTATGCAAGAATCACATGTTTGCATAGCAAAAATTACTTTCAAACAGTGCAGAAAGTAGCATTTTAAACCATATCACTAAGATAGAAGGATGTGCAAGGCACAGAATCGCGATGGTGTGTTACAAAATGTGAACTGAATTAGATGGGTACAGTCTAGTCAAACAGGAAATGTGGCTGGGATTGTTTCCTCCAAATAAATAATGTTTTTTTGAGTACTGGAGATCAAACTCACAACCTAGTGCTTGCCAGGCAGGCGCCTATGCCACTGAGCTAAATCCGCAGCCCCTGAATAAGTAATTATTACCACCCACATTTTTTGTTTCCCTTTGGCTGATTTAGTTTCCTGTTGAGTGACTTTTTTCATTTCTGTGTGGAGACTAACCAACTCATCAGAGACCCCAAGAGGTGGTAAGGTTGCTCATCCTCATGGATTGGAAATCTAGCTTGAAAATACAAAACTCAAGTGTCCCTACAGTTGTGACTCTGGAAAACTTGGTATAGCACTGAGCATTTCCCATTGCTTTTTTCTGCTGAAGGAGAAAGCCAAAAAAATGTACTTGGTGTCAAGATTCTTAGTCTTTCAACTTTTATTTCCTTTCTGTATTTTGCATTTTTTGGAGCTGTGTGGAAGCCCAGCTGGGACAATTCCAGCTAACTTTTGAATGGCTGTATGAGTATTTTCATAGACTTCTGGCTTGCTGCTTTGGTGACTTGTGTTTCCAACAGGAAACTGTGTTGCTTGATGCTTCACAAAAGGCTCATTCTACGACAGAGGTGGGCAAGAAACTTTGTGTGAGATCATTGCTCACACGCTCTTTTCAAAAGGCCCCATGACTCACACTTCAAATGCGCTTTGGGAAACTGAGTCCCCTAAGTGTTTCAAAGCACCATCGCCAAGGAACACAGCCTTGCCTTGGTTAAAAAATCACAAAATGTTGTGAGTGATGGAAAGATTTACTACAGGGTCGGCTCTCAGAGAAATTCATTTCCTTTTCTGTCTAATGCCAAATGACATTAAGCAGCTGAGTACTGTGATTCCTTAATTGGTTTTGCTCATTCTTGAATCAAAATAACCTGTGATGGATAAGCCTATTTTTATGAGGAAAACAAACCAAAAATAAATAAATAAATAAATAAATAAATAAATAAATAAATAAAACATGTTAAAAAACAGGAAGGGTACTTTTTGCTCCTGGGAGTTTGAAAAGAAACGGCAATAACTGAGCTGTGACAGCGATCACAAGGATGTAAAAGAAGCGATTGAGTTCGTCTATGCCGGGCTATTTGCATTCCGTGGATGAGTCTGGGTGACAAAGCTCAGAGTCCCACAGACTCGCTTTTATGTGATGAGGTGCGATGTGCCAGCTCTGCAGATGACTGGGGGGAGCCCAGAGATTTTCCAATGTGACTTGCTTTATCTTTGCCACCAATCCTGCATTTTCTGTTTTCTTCTCAGGCAGCGTTTGGGCAATGTTTACGCTTTTCTTTTTGGTTACAGGAAATGGCTATGATCAGTCCCGAGAAATAACTTGCAAACCTCTGCTACCCAGACGTTTAAAGCAGTGTCTCAATGACACGGCATCTGCCAAGGATGCACCTTAACGGTAGCGTTCATGCTTAGCATAAGAATCGGTCAATCCGTAAATAAAATAGGACATGATGACCTGGCATGATCATTTCACAGGGTGATCTTAATAGAAATGGAAAGAGTGCCATCCAAAAGCCAGCAGTTTATTCCAATTGTTTAGTGCAGTCAATGTGCGTGTTCATTGTTTCCCTGAATAAGGAAAGGAAAGTGTTTGAGGTCATCTTTGACATTTTATGGGAGATAAACTATCTTCTTACCCACAAGAGAGAGCTAAAGAGATGAACTGAGCTAAAAATGATAGCAGTAATCTGGAAGTGGAAAGAACACAGATTTTAGGGTGAGAAAATCTTCTCCTTCTGTGTTTCTATCTCACGGCATTCAGAGAATCAACCACCTTCCTGATTCCCTCTCCTTTCAAACCGAAAGTTATGGCCTTATCTGCCTGTACAGGTTATTCTATGGTATTGACATGCACAGGTCCAAAACATTATGCTGAATTCCGTAAGTTTGTACTATATGCTATTATTCATCAATGAAAAGTATATTTTCAATATTTTTGAAAAGGTTTGGTGGATTCATGTAAGTGACATTTTTATAGCCCATGAGTAAAACCACCTTCTAATTATTCATATAGCTGGACATCAGGTTAGTACTACTGTTGAACCATCAGTGTTATTTCAAGTGGCCTTGTGCTTGCCATAACCAAAAACTATCAATGATCGTTGTCTGAACTGAATAATCTTAGTTAAAAATAAATGCTCAAGAGGTACTTCTAGACTTCAATAATTCCGGTGATCATTACAATTGATTTTCTAGTATGAAAGGCTGGTAGATACCACTCTGCTAGCCAGTAACTACATTATTTTTTAACCGACCCATCATGCATATGATTGTTTCCAATCTGCTAAGAATAACCAGGGATCCTCCTGGGTAACTGGGGGCAAATCAGCATAAGTTACTATTAGACAGATTAGAAGTGATTGAACAAGCGTGCTTATGTTTACAGTGTGATTGTCTTGTAAACATTGCTGTTAATTCAGCTACATAGTTTGGTCAAAAGGAAGGAATATATAGCTAAAGTTGTGGAGCAACCGATCTTTACTAATAACCCAGTAAGTTTTCTATCCCCAGGATGCATCCAGCTCTTCTATGCAGAAGCAAACAGGGCGGTGCCCCCCTGAGCTGTGTGGGTGGGAGCCTTTTCAGCCTCTCAGCCTCCAAATCCATGCCAAGCGCTTCCCTCTCCTCCCCCTCACAATATCTGTATGCATCATTTACTTCAAAGAAAACTAGAGATCAGCATAGACAATGCAGGCCCAGAACAATCCCCAGTGGGAGTTAAACCCAGAGCTCAAACAGGATCATTCTTTTAAGGTCAATAGAGAATCCCTATCATTTCCCAGACCTTGCCCCTAGCATTAAAGTAACTCGAGTATTTTCTACTGTGTTTTTTTTTTGGTTTTTTTTTTGTTTTTTTTTTTTAATTTTATTTCTGGAGAAAAAGAAAAAAAAAAAAAACAGAAAAAGGGTACAAGTTATACAGAATTTCAGAAAAAATAAACAGTAGGAAATCACTAGTTAATAGATTACATATTGTTATCTTAGAAATAGTTGTTCAAGTTACAAAATTAAAGCATATAAAGTGGACTTTCAAACAGTGAGAGTGCAAACAGTTCTGTTCAGTGATCCAACAGAACTCAGTAATATGATTATCTTATACACTTAAATATACATGCAGTTATATCCTTTAGAGCACTTTCTTTTCCTTTCTTTTGTAAAATGAAAATTACACATTTTGGGTTTTGTTACTCCCACAGTTCTTATTACTTTTGTTTTTTTTTTTTTTTTTTTGAAGAGAGTAAAACCAAATGTGACATAACAAAACAGAGTCAGTCAACTCAAAAGGATGGACATAATACATAATGTAAAAACAAAATACAAGGTGATCAACAATGGTTACCATAATGCCTCTTGCTATCTTAAAAAGAATTGCCTATATCATCAGTTATAAAAAAATTGAACAAAACAGTAAAGAATAAAACCAAAACATTGGAGATATTACAGGACTTTAAAAGAAGATAATAGTCAACCGGAATGGGCGTCACAATGAATCTTATTGTCTTCACAGTTGTTGCCTATACTTTCAAACTTGGTACGATCAAGCAAAACAGAATAGAGGAAAATCAGTCAAAACAGGATAGTGAGAGCAACACAGGGTTTCAAATCAAGTTAATAGGAAATCAAAGTGGGTTACTATAATATATCCTGCTATTTTTTTTTATTTTTCCCTTAATTAAAAAGATTAAAAAAGTAAATAATTTAAAAAACGGGATTGAGATAAAAGAGGGCATAACCACAAAACAGCGCAGGTCAAAACATAACCGTTTAAGCAAAATAGTGTTTCACCATAAGATGTCCTGACATAAATCTAGTTACCTTAGTGTTTTTGTTGTTACTTTTTAAAATGATGACCAAAAGACCTTTGATGGACTAGAGAATGATGTGCCTAATGATTATTTTCTGTAGAAATAACTCAAACTTATTTGTGTATGGGTCAGTTCCCTGAATCCCAATTAAATCGGCCCACTTTGAATGAGGTTCTATTTTAAGCTGGCTCATTCTGCTGTAGGTTAATGAAACTCCAGACCTGGTATATGTCCAGTGCAAATTCATGTTCTCT